TGACACAATTCCTTGTTCCCGTTTGACATAGGCAGGCAACAGACCTACCTTGATGCTCTTTCAAACACATCAGTCAGACTATTATCTGCTGCTTATTGTTTTTCAATACCACAAGGGTTACTCTCTCCCTGAACAAACACTACCAAAACCAAACGTCCAAATATTCTATAAATAATTTGCACACAAGCTGTTAATATGGTCAAGATTTCATTGATTACATAATGTATGTCACAGTGTTGTAATGAGCCAAGTCATTGACTCGGACTCAAGTCAAGTCGAGTCGCTGAATTGACTCCAATACGAAAAATGACTCGACTCGAGTCAACAGCCCCAAATAACTCAACTCAGACTCGATTTGCTGAATTTTGTCGTAAAATGTCTCGTCAAATCAGCTACAACTTGTACAGAATAAATTAATCAAAATTATTGTTATTTGTACTGCTTGGGAAGAACAATGAACCCTATGAACAAATTTGCATAGAATATATTCCTGATGGGCATGAACTGACTGGCCCTTGAACTGAATGCGAAGTTCTGTTAAAATGCAATGAAATTTCCTTCAAGGTTCTATTTGTTTGAAATTGCCAGTTTAAAATGGCACTAAGAACCCAATATAAAATATAAAAAACTTAACTGTCTTGAAATATTTTGTCGGGCGGTACTTTTATATCGTATAACAAAATATAAAAAAATTTCACACGGCTCTTAAAATACAGTTGGGCGGTGATGAGAATCAAGGAATTTATTTTATGTGGCCTAACTTACAAAGCGTGATTAATTAAAGTCTATTCTTTGTTAATTCTGACTCCAGTTGTAAGTTATGCTGGTTGTACATGTATATACACTCGATCAAAACAACAACAACAACAACAAAACAACAAAAATTTATTTACCTACATATAAACAGTTACAGCAAATTTTAACAAGTTTGATATTTAAAAGTGTAGAGGTACTGGCTTCCTAAAATAACTAAAAAGCTAAAAAAGTTAGGAAGCCAGGAAACATAAATTAAGTTACATTACGGGTCGAAGATATACAGTACTCATTATACACACAAACACAAACACTAAACTATATTTACACATACACTAATACAAGTTCTACCATAGTTTTCATTATAATAAAAAATTGAAACGAGGAGCAGAAATCAGTCCTAATATTGAATCTTATTGCAAATGGAGAAAAAAACAAAAAATTATCAATATTTACTTAAAAATTATTTTCTTAATTTTTTTTTAAATTTCATGTAAGAAACAGATTTAAAATCTGAACCAAACGAGTTCCAGACTTTAGGCCCTTGAAACCCAATATTAAATTTACCATAATTTGTCCTTGCTTTGGGAAGATAATAAGATTGATTTGCAGTTGATCGCGTATTATTATGGATTGTTTCAACGGAAGTAAAAAAGGAACTGAACACAGAAGGTAACATTTGATTGTGAAATTTAAACATGAAAACTGCAATATGCAGTGTAACAAGATCACACAGCTTGATAACTTTTAATGACTTAAAAATAGGGCTTGTGTGGTCATTAAATTTAGAGAAAGTCATAATACGCATAGATTTTTTCTGTAAAACAAAAAGGGGTTGTAAAGTTGTAAGCTATGTATTACCCCAAACAGTTATCCCATATATTAAATATGGGTAAATTCAAGCATAATAAATGTTGGTTAGAATGTTTATATTTACGTAATATCGAAGTTTTGATAAAACTCCAACGCTTCTCTTTATCTTTTTTGCAATATTATCAATCTGGGGTTTCCAACAGAGATTTGAATCAATAAAAATACCAAGATACTTGATACATTTCTCTTGTTGTAATGGTATATTATTCAAGGTTAATTCTAGATTAAAAGGTAATTTTCTTCAAGGTGGGTGAAAAACAACAAAATTTGATTTTTCTTCATTCAATGAGAGCCTATTTGCACAAAGCCAATTATGAATATTAGATAACTCACTGTTTATATTAGATTGTAGAATAGCAAAATTCTTATGTTTAATAGCATAAATTAGCATCATCAGCAAATAAGTGAAAATCAAAAAGGGATGAAGAAAGATGAAAGTCGTTAATATAAAGGAGAAATCGTACTGGTCCAAGAACAGATCCTTGTGGTATACCACAGGAAACTGTTGTTATGTTCGAAGTTACATTGTTAACTGTAACAGTTTGTTGACGATTTTCAAGATACGATATGAACCAATTAAGAGCTATACCTCTTACGCCATAATACTCCAATTTTCTTCTCAAAATTTCATGATTTACAGTATCGAATGCTTTACTAAAGTCTAAAAAAAATTCCACATGAAAAATCACAGTCATCAATGGGCCAATTGTGGAATTGCTAAGCATCATGGTAGTTTAGTTACACAGCAGAATTTTTCAACATGGCGCTTATACTTTTCGAACGAGGAAAGGTGCTAAACACATGAGAATTGCAAGAAAACTTTTGTCATTTTCGCTTTGATTAAAGTTTTGACTTAATCTGTACGACTTTGTTTCATATTTCTACTGGGTCTTGGACTTCTACGAGCGAGTGTGGTTGAAATATTTAACATGGCGTACAAAGTCACTGAAGTGGGGAAGGAGTTCGATTCATAGTAGTCGGGAACAAATTTTTGAATATTTCACAACATGAAGGTGAGTACTGCATTGAATTATTTTCGAAAGAAGGAACACGTTGTAACCTATTATTTGCCTAAAAATTTTAACAAGTGCAAGCTGCACTTGTACAGGTGGTTCCATTGCTGTAAACATGTAGCTGCACTGCTATTTCAAATTTTGGACTCAATATCCAACTTCAATTATTAAACTGAAGTCCCAGATGATTTAACATGTACACAGTCTGACAGTCACTGAACTTACTAATCATAAACTTGATACTGCAGTGCTTTTCGACCAGGTAAAAATAAGCAATGCAACTTTCAAGACAGAAAAAAACATTGCACAGCAAACTACAACAACCCAGCACCTGCTTTTGCTAAACATGTAAATGTTGAAGACTTAAAGAAAACTTGAAGACTGGTTTGAAAACTGTTGGCACTTGTGATTATTTGCAGGGCCTTTTAGTATCCAATAATTGTGAACCTTTCCAATATCATGAATTTGTTGAGGAATTTCCTTCAAAAAAGGCATTCAATAATGCAAACCTATTTGCAAATCAAATGTACAATACAAAATTCGAACATCTATACTGGAACAAATTACTGTTCCTAGCAGCAGTGTGCAAACATTTGCCTTTGCAGCAGTGGGCAAACACTTGCCTTCTCTGGAGTATATAGACCAGATACTCGAAACACTCTTTTACACCCAAAGAACAAATGGTTGACATTGAATGCAATACAAGAGGTCAGTCACAGAGCAGACTTTGGTTTCATGAACAACAAGGTCGTCTACTGTAACTACCTCGCATTTCGGTACGGCAATGAAATGAAAATGTTTTCCTCACATCACTTCTTTGCAAAATCCTTTTGCCAGCAAGTAATGTAAAGCATGTCAAGTAGGGCAACAGTAATGAGCAGATTGCCATTGAAAAACATTTGGAGAAAATAATTCAGGATGAACTGATAATGACTGCATGTGTAATGACTGCATGTGTTCAGTGTGTGGGTTATTTGTTAACACAGAAGCTCCATGGCTTGGTGCAACCAGACTGCTTGTTATATAATCATGCAGAGCCAACATCATTTTGGATAGGTGAGGTGAAGTGCCCATTTTCAAAAATGCAGACTGACTTCTAAATGATGCTGGCATTTCAATTTGTTGTTCAGTCTGTACAATCACTAATTACACAGGTATTTGGGTAGGTTTTTTTGAAAGGCTGTGGCATAGTTTTTTGTATATAATATATAATCTTGTGATGCCCAGATGGGTAGGGCTCCTAACTTGTGATAGAGAAACTCTAACCAAGTAGCCCATATATGGGAAACATGTGCTGTGAAATGCCAATTCGGTGAGCAATATGTCAACCCGCATAAGACCACAACGTAGGCGACATTGATCTTTTTCGCCGCAGCTTTTTTGATTCTGCCAAGTATTCTACATTGTTACTCGAACCAGCATAAGTTAAGAAATTACATGCTGGTTGCAGAAAGTCAAGGAAAACTTTAAATTGTTGCATAATTTTGAAAACATGTATAGAATTTAAGATTTGTGTCCTGGCAAGTACATGTTCTATTTGCAATACACACTGTTCGTATTTAGATGATAACTCATGAAAAGCTGTAAAGCTGCATGTTCAGTTTTTAATCTTTCATTGGTTGACTCTTGTGTATCAATGCTAGTCGTTTGTTGTTCAGGCTGGGTTGTTCAGTCTCACTAGCTGTCTATAATAATATATGTTCCCTGCCTGCCATACTGTTTACAGTTTGTCTACATGATATTTAACAGCAGTTGGCAATGCACTAAAAGATTTCTCAGTGTAAGGAACACACTTTGTGGCTTTTTTATGAAAGGTTCACTTTGTATTCTCAATAAATTCAGCCATATTTCTCACAGGAAATTTATGGAAGGATAATTCCGAATTTTTAACACTGTCGCTTTGACAAAGTGGCACACAACAGGTTGTTCCCCTGTACATTTTACCTTTAGGCACTTTTTCCGTGTCACTTGCCATATTTATCCAAACAAACAGCAAACCAAATGGCTCGAAACTTTCCAGAATATACTCGAAACAAGCGAGGTTGCTTTAAATTTGACTCGCGTTGTTGGAGACAGGTCAAGTTTATTATCTCATAGTTAATATTAGTTATTTAGTTAATTAGACGATCTTTAATCATATAGTTAGATGAGTGACGGCTGTCAAATAGGTGAGAGAGAACTGAGACAGAACTGATAATACAGAATAGAGAGAGATGGAACATATAGCAAGACCGAGACGTGAGTGATTTAATATACTGTGATTGAGAGAATATAATAAATTTATAAAACTTTGTTGTGATCTTTGGTGGACTACAATTCTAACCAACGGAGGCAGAATATCCACTAAATCTGGCACCTCCGATGGGATTTAACGTATCTGTATTTACTGTGGTAAATCTTTATACATGTGACTATGGAACTGGCAGAATCGAAGCTAAAAATAAGTTAACACAACTAGAACTATCTGTGAAGAAAACGGCGAATATTTTAGAGAAAGGCAAAGAGGAGGCAATTGAGCGTCATCTGAGTGCTTTTAAAGTGATAACTAGTGAAGTCGATCAATGTAAACGAACAGTCGAAGAGCTGAAACTTGCAGATAAAACCGATCTCGAAGCGATCGCGGAATTCGAGGCATCTGTTGACGAGAAAATCGAAGCGGCGGACGACGAAGTAATGCGAATCAAGCAATGGCTCCAAGGGAAGGAAGCAGAAAGAGATGCCGAAGAAAGGAAGGTAGGATACGGTTTGACATGAAATTACATCAACTTAAGCTAGATTAAAACCCTGTACCAGCCTTAAAGAATGTCGAATTGATTAGCACAAAACTGCCCAAGATTGAGATAACAAGATTCGATGGGTCGCCCCTTGATTGGCCACGATTTTGGGGTCAGTTTACTGAGACTGTGGACAAATGTTCAATAGCACCGGTGAATAAATTTGCCTATTTGTGTGGGTTTTTGTCGCCCAAAGTTAAAACTATCATCGAAGGCTTACCTTTCGACCCAGAGGGTTATAGTCGCGCCAAAGCCATACTTCAAGATAGGTATGGCAAGAATTCAGAAGTTATTAAGGCTTACATCAAAATAATTTTTGATCTGCCAACTATCAATCAAGTTAATCTTAAGAAAATACATCAATTTAACGATCAGTTGATGCATGCTGTCCAAGCACTTCAAACCCTAAAGAAATTAGAGACGGTGAATGGTTATGTACCCATGACCTTGGATAAACTTCAAGCAATCAGGGGGGATTTAAACTGATGAAAGAAGCGGGAAACTTGAACTCCAACAAAACAACACCAAACGAGATAATCGATAATGGGGCTTCTGTCACAAACACAGCCATAATTGCACAGTTGTTTAACTCGCATTTCTCACAAATTGCAGACTCTGTCATCCATGATACAACACATCACAAACCAAATTTAGAACCACTTCGACAATTTGTGAAAACTCACCTTCCTGATAACCACCACTTCACGGTTCCAGCCATGTCTGCAGAGTACCTTCTGAATGCAATCAACAACTTGTCGTGTAACAAAGCAAAAGGAGTTGACTCGATAAACATCCACCTTCTTCAAGTCGGCTGCAATGAAGTCCTCCCATCCCTTCTCTACATCTATAACACCAGCATAACCTCGGGTATTTTTCCAGACCAGTGGAAAATCAGCAAGATCACACCTGTGTTCAAAAAAGGCTCGCGACAAAATAAGGATAATTATAGACCTATCGCTGTTTTGTCTGTGCTATCTAAGATCTTGGAGCGCTTTTATGGTCTACATCTACTTGGTTACCTTCAAGAACACAACTTGCTCACCAGTTCCCAATTTGGATCACGACCTTTCCACTCTTGTGAAACAATGTTACTCCAACTTACAGACTCGCTACTTAATGATATGGACAAAGGAAATCTCAGCGGTATTCTCCTTATAGACTTCCGGAAAGCGTTCGATCTTATAAGCCATGACCTCCTACTACAGAAACTTGCCATTTATGGTCTTAAAGATTCAACACTCCAGTGGTTCAAGTCTTATCTCACGGAATGAAAGCAATTAGTGTCCATCGGACGTGCAACTTCAGATCTCCTACCAGTACATACCGGTGTTCCACAAGGTTCATCACTTGGACCACTTCTCTTCATTTTATTCATCAACGACATACCACTTGTTAACAAAGAATGCAATTCCTACATCTATGTAGATGACACCACCTTGGTCAAGTCAGGGACATCCATCAACACCGTTAGATCACATCTACAAACTGGTGCTGACAACCTAAGTAACTGGGCCTCCGAGAATAGAATGGCCATCCATCCCAACAAGACTAAGGTCATGCTTATTGGATCACGACAAAAACTTTCAACCATCAACGAACCGCTCAATGTTTCTATCTGCGGAACCACCATCTCCCAAACAACCTGCGAAAAACTACTTGGTGTGCACATGGATGACTCACTCACATGGAACACCCATATTTCTCACGTTATCAAGAAATACAACAACAAACTTGAACTTGTGAAACGAGCCAAACCTTACCTTACACCCAAGCTCCTCCTTCTCCTTTATAACAGCATAGCAAAGCCAACACTCGAGTACTGTTGTAGCGTTTGGGGTAATTGTAGTACAGACGCTCTTGGACGTGTAACATCTGCCCAAAAACGTGCCGCGAGGATTCTACTAAACGCTGATTACACTATCCCATCAATAACCTTATTCAAAGAAATCAACCTTATCCCAATTCATGACACCATTTGCCACCGGATCCTACTACAGACGTTCAAATGCATACATAACATCAGTCCACCATGCCTCAGCACCCTCATGGAAAAACCAACCCACCACCATTCAACAAGAGCTATTGCGAATAATAATGTCCACATCCCAAAAGCAAGATCTAACGCAGGAAAACGACGATTTTCATTTATAGCATCTACCTTATGGAACAATTTCCCTAACGAGGCAAAGAAAATAACATCGCAGCCGTCATTCAACACATATTGCAAGAGTTACTTTAGTCAGAAACTCGTGAGTTCAACTAAACTTAACAGCATAAGGCTTTATTAAGATATCTAAAAATATCATCAGTAATTAATTGTTTAATATAAGTATATAGTCCAATAAGTATCAGTAACAGTGTATTCGCTGTTAAGAACATTTAGTGTTTGTTTGTTTGCATGTTTTCTCTTTTATTAAGACTATAAGTTGGTTGCTTTCTTGATGTACGAACTGCCGAAATTCATGCCTGCAGTTTTAGCTGAGCATGATCTACTTTCGGTTGTTCGTACATGGAGAAAGTGGCAAATACTGTCATGTTTATAATGTCACTTTAGACACTTGTGAGTTGTGTGTCAACGCGTATTTCGACTTGTTATACTGTACTGTAAATATAATTTAGACATAGTTAGAAAATTGCCTAATTAGTAAATTGGGGCTTTCTCGAGGTATGAACAACTGAATTGTAGTACTGGTTAATACTTTACAATGTACCCATGATTTCATTTGTTCATACTCCTATAGGAAGTACTGAATATAGTCATGTTTAATGTTATTGTTGTTGTGTATATAGAGTTTAGGAGGACCAGATTGGAAAAAAGTTGTAACTTTATCTGTTTATCCTCAATAAATAAAGTGTTATTATTATTTAGTGCACACAGACCCAGATTGGGAAGACTGGGACTTCTCAAAATTATCCGAAGCTCTCCGATTATGGGCACGAAGGAACCCGATCGTTGAAACAAATGAAAGGGATGAAAACAAATCGTGGAAGCACGAAAAATCAAGAAAGTTGCTTTTCTCGAAAGCGCCAGAGCATACGTGTGCATATTGCGAGGGGGGAGACCACAAAACCGTTTCGTGTAGCAAAATTACCGACGTTAGTGCTCGCAAGGAGATTTTAGCGAAGAAAAAACTTTGTTTTAACTGCGCAGCCGGTAACCACAAAGCAGCGGAACTGTCCAAGCAAGCGTTCATGCCAAAACTGCGATAAGAGACATCATACGTCCATCTGTGATACCAATTCAAAGGTCAATCTGATGGGTATGACAAGTAAAACCGGAAGCGAGGCTATTCTTCCAGTTGTAAACATCAACGGTGTAACATGTAGAGCACTTATAGATTCTGGTGCAGGAAGCTCCTATGCTTCTGCGAAATTAATAGATGCCCTAAAACTAAAGCCCATGGAAACAAAAACCACCCGAATGACATGTTGATGACGTCACAGGTTACCCATCTCGAGGTTTATAAAATCAAGGTGCAAGCACTTGACTCGAATTATGAACTCAAAACGAACTTGACGAAAGTAAATAAGAGTCAGTTATTAGTTGTCGATAACCCCCAATACAAGAATCTTCTGCAGAAGTATCAGCATCTGAATGAGGTGAAACTGAACGAGACAGAGAAATCCCTTCCAATCCACGTCGTCCTGGGAAGTGGAGAGTAGGCACGTGTCAAAACTCAAGAGAGACCACAAGTTCGAAACGAAGGAGAGCCAATAGCCGAACTTACAAAACTGGGTTGGTTTGTGATGAGTCCTGGTACCGAGTTCGATGAAGCGAAAATGTTGTTGACCCAAACTTCCCAAGCTGATTATGAAGCTCTCTGTCAATTAGATGTCCTTGGACTCGAAGATAAAAGCGAACACGACCAATTGACAGTTTACGAAGAATTCAAAGAGCAGTTGAACAGATCACCTGAAGGTTGGTACGAGACGGGACTACCGTGGAGAGGGGAACCATCCACCCCTTAAGGACAACCGGGAAGGAAGTTTGCGACGGCTTACCGCTCTTCAAAACCGGCTGAAAAAACGAGATCTCACAGAACCTTACGCCGCTGTGATTGAAGACCAAATTCAACAAGGAATCGTCGAAGAAGCACCACCGCAAGTGACTGGAGTCGAGTTCTATATACCCCACAAGGAAGTCATCCGAGAAAGCGCTGCCACGACAAAGCTCCGAGTGGTGTACAACACGTCCGCGAAACCATCCCCACAAGATCCTTCATTGAACGATTGCCTTAACCCTGGACCACCCTTACAAAATAAGATGTGGGAAGTCCTCGTACGACAGCGAACTTTTCCTGTTGCTATAATGGGAGACATCACGAAAGCATTCCTTCAGATCCGCATCAGAGAAACGGAACGCGATGCACTATGGTTCCACTGGACAACAAAGAACGGTGAGTTACAGATCCTTCGGTTTACTAGAGTTCTGTTTGGCCTCGTCTCATCGCCATTTCTTCTTGGGGGAGTCATAGCTTCGCACCTAGAACGATGGAAACGTGCACAACCTGATGACATAGAAGAACTAGAACGGTGTCTTTACGTTGATGACATCATAAGTGGAGGGGAATCTGTGGAACAAGCGAAAGCTCGGAAAGAGGCAGCAACCGTCATTCTCGAAGACGCAACCTTCAAACTCCATAAATGGGCTTCGAACGTAAGTGCACTTGAAGACAACGACGATGAGTCCGAAGTAATCGAAGACCAAACAGCTGCGAAGCAACAGCTGGGAGTAAATCCACAAGAATCCAAGATCCTCGGATTGCCGTGGAACAAAGTAAGCGATACACTAAGTGTTCTGTTTCCAAACGAAGAGAGCAAGACACCAACCAAACGAGAAATATTAAGTAGACTCGCGAAGACCTATGATCCACTAGGGCTTGCATCTCTTATTACCTTACAAGGAAAATTGATCTATCGGGAGATCTGTGATACAAAGTTACCGTGGGATGCAGAACTCGAAGGTAATCTACGAAGATGATGGTTGTCATGGGAACAATCAACGCCCTTATCTGCGACCGTTCCAAGATCAATAGCTGCATACCGTGAACCCATAACAGAAATCCACCTCCATGCTTTCGGAGACGCAAGTGGTCAAGGAGTTTCTGCTGCTGTTTACGGGGTGAGCAAACAATATTCGGGAGAGACACAAATGCTTATCGCGGCGAAATCACGTCTGGCGAAGAGAGGACTTACTATTCCAAGGCTAGAACTTATTGCAGGGCACATGGCGGTGAATCTAGTGAAAAATGTTGCGAAAGCAATTGGAGAAGACAAGGTCACCGAACAACACTGTTGGTCGGACAGTACTGTTGCCCTCTACTGGATCGAAGGAACGGGTGAATATCGGCAGTTTGTTGCAAACCATGTTGCAAAGGTTCGTTCTCACACCTCAGTCAAGTGGCATTATGTTCCAACAAATCGGAACCCCGCAGATCTGGGAAGCAGAGGAGGGCAGTTAACGGAGCTGTGGTTGAACGGTCCAAAGTGGTTAGGAACGCCTGAGAATTGGCCAGAAAGTCCAATCATCCAATCATCGAAACAATCGCAAGCTGAGGCAAAGATCGTCCGCAAGATCTTGTACACAACACAGACAACGAACGAAAGCGATGACTTAGATCTTGTTTTAGAAAGAAACGAATTGCGTACAACGCTGAGAGTCACTGCCTGGATACTCCGATTTGTCCACAATTGCAAGAACCTTGAGAAACGAAAGGGCCCTTTGAATCCTTCAGAAACGGAAGAGGCGAAACGATGGTGGATCAAACGCATCCAGTGTGAGAACAGCAAAAGTCTCCAGTTCGCCCAAACGAAGCAAGTTCTCAACCTTAAAGAGAACCAGGACAGGATGTTGGTATGCCATGGTAGAGTACAAGGAGCACACCCAATTTACCTGCCAACGAAAGCAACATTCACAAAGAAGTTAGTCGGGAGAATTCACATCAACACCTTACACGGCGGTGTCGGTCTGACCATGGCTGCTATAAGAGAGACGTATTGGGTTCCGAAACTACGACGACTGGTGAAAACAATACGAAGCGAATGCTGGGGATGCAAATGGTTTCGGACAATAGCGATCAAGACTCCAGCAACAGGCTATCTTCCAACAAATCGAACAGACGGGAAAACAGCGTTCGAAGTCGTAGGAGTCGATTTTGCTGGGCCAATTCGGTACAAGAAAACCAAGAAAGAGTCGAAAGCCTATCTAGTAATCTTTGGATGTAGTTTATCTCGAGGAATTTATTTGGAACTACTTCCTGATCTAACGACAGAAACATTCGTTCCCTGTTTGAAAATATTCATTGGTCGACGCGGCAGACCTTGGGTGATCTATTCTGACAACGGTGGTACGTTCATAAAAGCAGCAAAATGGCTTAAGAAAACTCAAAAGGACGAGCGTGTTCTCAACCACCTCAAAGAGAATGACATCAAGTGGATCTTTAATCTGTCTCGAGCCCCCTGGTGGGGAGGACAGTTGGAACGGCTTATCGGAGTGGTTAAAGGTGCAATGAGAAAAGTGATCGGGAAAGGAATTTTGCATTGGAACGAGCTGAG